GAGTGTTGCCTGTTTAGTGGTTATGAAATTGTCACATATTTCAATCGGATTTACACTGCTAAACGAGCATCAGTTTTTCTCGTCATGGATTACATTCGAAGTTCAAAGAACGTAGATTACTATTCTGTAACGGCTGAAAACCAGTAATCACAAGAACATTGTTAAAATCGCATTTGTTTACAACGGTTGACATTCTATCTCGCGATGCGTACCCCGTTTAGTTCACTTTAAATAGCTCTTCCAACGTTTTATGGACACGTTACGTCTTGATCAAGCATTCTGTTTGAAGCTAAAAGAACGTAGATTAATCCACTGTCATTGAAAATAACAATAAACGACCAGAACACTGTCAAAATCGCATTTAATTGCGGAATACCACTACTTTTTCGACCGGTGGCGCCATCCGTGGCGAATCGCTGAAACTGCTAGCGAAATAATTGGTTAGCAGTTTCACCGATTCGCCACGGATGGCGCCACCATTCAAAAAATAGTGGTACTCCGCGTTTAAATGCGATTTTAACAGTGTTCCGGCCGTTTATTGTTATTATCAATAACAGTGGATTAATCTACGTACTTTCAGCTACAAATTGAGTGCTTTATCTACACGAAAGCTATCCGTATAACGGTGTAAGAGCTGTCGAAACTAAACTATGCCGGGTACACATGACGAGATACAGTGTCAAACGTTGCAAACAAATTTGATTTTAACAATGTTATTATAATTACTGGTACCCAGCCGCTGGAAAGTAGTAATGTACGTTCTTTAAACTTCAAAAGTAATGCATGCCGAAGGAAAATGATGACCGTTCAGTGGTATAAAGGCTATCGAAATCAACCACATAGAACCCCCGGAGGTGGTGCCAGAGCCCTGTGGTGAAAGCTTGGGGTCACAGAACCCCCGCAAGGGACGCCAGAGACCCCGTGTGTGAGAATGTAGGCTCATCTAACCCGGAGCATGCGTAAGATACCCCATGTGTGTGAGATGTACTGTGTAGTACCTTGCTAAGTGGAATCACGGTGGAACCGGGATTTTGTAAATCATTTTTGTTACTAAATTTGTTATTGCTGAGTTTAGACGTATATACAGTTATTTATAAACCGTTGATATCCAAACATCAAATGGTATTGTGGTACGATCTGCCTGATAGTCTGTTACTAATTGGCTGGTAACTTAAGTGTTTCGCCGTAGTTGGCGTAAGAAATATTTACGGCAGTCACGTGTAAAATTAAATATTAATTCAAAATGACTAACAGTTGTTTATGCACACCATCCATTTTGAAAGATTCTACAAAGTAATTTGATACTTAGGAAAATGTGCTATCCTACTTGTTCATAAGTTTGCACTAACCTGCATATGAATGTTCTAACGAATAGCGTTCCTTTTTAACTGAAACTTTGTGCAATGTACAGAAAGAAGAACATGCAACAGAAGTGTATACACATATATATGTATGTACATTCTCGTAATTAGAGATTCAGTATTGTTAATTTTATTATGCAAATTCATAATTTTATTCATTAATAGTATCACGCATTCTCTATCGTTCGATTGTAAAAATGAGAAATTGTAAACTGTAACAATATTACAATAACAAGATAAAAGAATAAAAAGGGACAGGAATTAGGAGACAGAACAAAATTTTTTTGGGAGCATATGTTCGATCTCGAAAGTATTAATA